ATCCTTATTCTTTTCATTCTAACAATGTAATTACAAAAACAAATAAATTTCTACACAAAGATCTTATTTCAGCTACATCACATGACATCACATATAAGAGTGCACTCCTAGTTAAAAATTAAATTGAAATAGATCCAAATATCTTAAGAACCACGTGGTTACATAAAGTTAATACAATTATAAGTTATGCCCTTATTCTTAATATACATTTTTGTAGGTATTTAGATAACCTATTGTTATTAATCCATAAAATAATTAACATGTCTAAATGTTTAGTTAATATATATTTATCTAATTGTTTTCTTCAACAGAAAACCCATAATTTATACCTTTTATGCATGCATTTCTCTGATGCTCTATCTTTTAGTTACAGATATTTGAGATAAATATATTTAACTATAAATTTACTTTCAAGAAAAAAAAAATGCAACCTTCAAGTTATCTCTAATTCTCAAGGTTATTGTACAAACATTTATAAGATGATAACAGATATGACTCTGTCTACAGAAATATCCAAAGGCTTTAACTATATTTTCATTGAGACATTTCTTATCAAGGTACAATAATTTGTTTAGATTCTAAGGTTTTCAGAAATTATTTCAAAGTATAACCAGGAAAAATTCTAAAAGGAAACAACGATGCTTCACCAGAGAGGAAGCACACATTGGAGGTCCTAAGAAAAACAAAGGAATCATCTTTGGGTAAGAAAAGGTTGTTATATTCTGGATTTTAATGATAAAAGTATTTTCCTAAAAAGGAAAATCTTTATATCATTATCAAGACAGATGATATAGAAAGTTAAAACAATTAAAAAAGAGATTTATGTGTACTGGACTTACTATAAAAATTTTTAACTGATTAATTCAAGGATATTCCAGGCTATTTTTCTGATTTTACTGTGCTGATATGAGCTAAGATTTTTTCCATATTTTGATATGATAAAGACCTATTAAAATGTTAAGTTTAACTTACTTAAGGAAGGTCTTTATTGTCTGATGATTCTTACTATTTAAGTCAAGGGTTAATTTTGGTGAATAAACTCATATCCTTGATTAAACACTGAATATATTAACTGCTGACTTAGATCCCAATTTTGACAATTCCCCTTGGATACTAAATTTGATTAATCTATCAAATTAATCAAAGACACTGTTGATTCTTACATATTACTTTTGTTTGTTGAATAATTATGAGATTTGAGAGATCATTGTATTAGGACTGAGGTTTTCCAAATTGAAGTCGTGTGTTAGTTTTGAACAATAAAGGTTGCAAACCTTGTTGGAAATTCATTGTTATTATATAAGTTCTCTGACTGGACCTATTATCCATAAAAAATATGGTAGGAGTTATATATTATTCCCTACATTGGGAAGTAACCTTAATCATATTTTTTAAAAGAAATTAAGACACACCTATTTAAAGGACAATATTCTGAAGTATAGAGATATTTTGAGACCTTCTCTCAAAAAGAGATTGAGAGTTCTTTCTAAATTGTTAGGATGAATCAAATAATCTATTTGAAAATTTACAATAATCAATAAAAATTGAAAAATTTTGAATATTGAAAAATTACAATAATCAATAAAAGGTAAATCTTTTCTTAACATTTAAGTACTTGTACTATTATCTATAACATAAACTGATGATACATTGGCTTACACGAAGGCTTTACCCAATTTTGTTAAATAAAAAAGGGGGGGAGGGGACAGGACTGGAGAGGCACACACTGGATCTTACAAAATATTTTAAAAATTTTTTCTTAATTGTAATATTGAGAGTCTCATTGTTGTTAAACTTGATTCAGTAAATTAAATCAGATGTCAAAGTAGAGTTTAAACCAGTCATCATGAAAATTACTGATAAACCTGACACAGGAAGGTAAATTTCCAACTGCAAAGTTTATAGCCATATAGATTCACTAGTTTGTCAGGTAAGTAAAAATTATGAAAAGACTTGTGTGGACCCATTTCTCAGGTCCACCTTTAATGTACCTTGCAGTGTGGACTGGAAAGTCCACCCATGAAACTTGATTAATTATACTGACTATAATGGTCAATTATACCTCTATGTTGATGCTATGGTAAACAGGCTGTCTGGGAGTATCTTTTGAGAAGAAGACAGTATATAAGAAACCTAAACCAGCCAATTCTGCTTGTCCTTAGAAATTAGACTACCTATCTGGACAATTGTCATGAAGATTATTAAAACAGAATTTTCCTATACAGGCAAGTTATTTACATAAAATATCCACCAATGTATTATTGTCTTAATCATTCTACAATAGAAGTTGACACCTTTTCTAAGTGGATAGATTATGCAAATGTCTTGTCAACACAACACAAGATGTCTAGAAATAATGGATATATTAGGTTAGTCTCCTAAAATGGACAAGAACAATTACATGAGGATGCTGTAATTCTTAGAATCTCTAACCCTCAGAAAGATGACACCCAAAAGGATGTTTTGATGTTTGACTTCTACCTTCAGAAGATTACATTACTGATAACCTAATAAACTCCTTAAATGTGAGAATTAAGAGAAAAGATGATGAATATCCTGTAGCCTGCAAGAATACAACTTATCTTATTGAATCACTAGTTATTGCCAGCTAATATTTCAGAGCTATAATATGCTGAAGTTAATGTACAGACTTTGAAACAGGTGCATGTCAATTAGCCAGACCTAGGCAAGCTGCTGGTCTCATCAACCTTGAAGTGACTACTTTAAATATTATTCCTAGCTTCCACAATTACAGCCTTTATGGCTATATCTTAAAACTTACTGTGGGTAGCCATTCTCGCACGTGATTGGGCACCTCCTGGATTGGGTGTGAGGCGTTCTGGCCAAACTGTGTCAGAGCTTTCCCCACCCTCTCCAGGTGCGAGAGCCTGTCCACGTGGGGATGTGACTGACCACTGACCCTGAGGCCAATCACTGACCCTGACCTTGGAATGCTGCCCCCTTGACCTTCATTGGATGGAATTTTCCCCTGAATTTCTTGTTCCCCAATAAAAGGCCACTCCCTGGCATGCTCTCTCTCTCTCTCCTGCGAGCCCTGAGTAAGCCTTGCTGCCCCACCGGGTGGTTCGAGGTGTGAGCCAGAGAGGTGAGAGCCGTCTCAGACCTGGTCATAGGAAAAGGTAATTGAGTCTGTGTGTTTTATTTTGATCTCACTAGTTAACTTCTGTGCCACGAACCTCTTTAATGAAACCAGTGTACTGGTCACCTGGTGGAACTTACAACAGATACACTTTCTTAATTTGACTTAGTTACTTCAAAGATCCTTCATAGTCAGATAAGTGCTGATGGAAGGATGGGGCTAAGTTAAAATGCTCTAAAAGACAATGTAATAAATATTGTGAATGAGCCCTCTGCTCTATGGTTTGTGGAAAGGCTTATATGCCATGGCAAATAAAAATGTCTGTGTTACTATGGCCAAATGCAATGCGTCCCAATAAAATTGGGAAAAGATTAAGAATCTTCTGATGAGAGTTTGGCAAAGTAATAATAATAACCTGGATCTTCCAAGTTGATTGTGTTATTGAAATGATATGTTTTGTACAAATTCCTTTTGTGTTTCAATAGTAGATCATAATGACCTTGGAAGAAGAATCCAGTGACTAATAGATATAATTCCCAATTGCCTTTAAATATTAAGAAAGGGGGAATATGTGGGGAGCCACTCTGAATGATTCATGCCTTCCATCCTGAAGCAAGAGACTTTGACAGGTCACTGCATTTCACATTGTCCCAGTCCAGGAAGTTGAGGGACTGTTTTTAAACTTAGGCAATCACCGATGGAGTTGAGCTATACTCACCTATTGCTTTGTAATACTATGCCTTTTCCCTGTTTGGATTGAATGTTCCATGAAATCACCCTTTGTGTGTCCCCTTCTCTTGCTCTGCCTTTGGGTGTGGCCTTCCTAGATGTCAGTCAACCTGCTGACAGCTGACATCAGGAAGCTAGACTCAACCCCCTGAAACCTGACCCCTTGCCTCATTTGAATGGCTTCTCCTTAATAAAAAAGGTTCATTCAGCACATGCTCTCTCTCTCTCTTTTCCTGCAGACACTTAAGGTCAGAAGAGCCGTCACAGGACCCCAAAGAAAAAGGTACCTTTGTCTCTTGTGTGATGATTTCGTGCAGCCCAGTTCCCCTGGAGTGACCCTGAATGTTTTAGTCATGAGGAACGTGACATTCTGGGATGAATCTCACTTGGTCCTAGTATATAATTTAGTGAATGTTCTGTTGAATTTGCTCTACCAGTATTTTGTTAAGATTTTTGTGGCTGCAGACATGAGGTATATTGGTCTGTATCTGTAGTTTTTGTTGTGGTTTTTGTAATATTACAGAAACTTTACAGTCTGGCCTATTCGAAGGTCATCCAAGTTGTGTTTAGAATGCTGCTTCTCATACAGGAAAGCGAAAGCTGAGCAGAAGTCCCACCATAATTCCTTTCTGTGAACCTGAACCTGCTCTTCCTTGCTGCTCCAGGGATGGACCCACACATTGACCAATCACTGTGGGAGGCTAGGCCTTAGCACTCAGCCTGTCACCTGGTACCATTAGTCCTGGACCAAATCCTGTGTGGAAAAGCCACAGCAGTTCTCACTTGCATTCATTGCAGATTTTCATCATTGATGTGTCCTCTATCAAATGAGGTCCTCTGTAGAGACACCCTGAACACACCAGTGTGTTTATGTAACAGCTTCCTTGACTTCCCTCCTTGTGGCACAGATAGACACACCTCAGCAGCCGCAGGGTTCCTTGGTGGGTAGGGAGCAGATGTGGCCATCTACCCCCTCTGCATGGAAGTTACTGAGGGCTCCAGTTCTGGGCATTTCCAACAGTGCTGGCAGGATAAGTACCTAGATTTGGACATGCTGGATGAAGAAGGGACACATGCTAAGGACTTGGAAGGGTGCTGCCAAACGATTCTGAGGAGTATCCGTGGTCACATCTCTCAGGGGATCTGCCCAGGCCTCTATCTCCTGTCTTCTCACCAGAGTAGTTCAGCAGTATTTTC